CTTCCCCTTAAGACCTGATTCAGCGGTCTTGAGAAGTCCCTGAAGTTTGCTGAGTGTGACCTCTTCCTTATTCATGTGATATGTCATGCGGAATTGATCATAGCACGATGGTAAGGAGCGCAAAATTATATCTATTGCAAGCTCATCAGGGAAGTTCACATTAAGCTTCAACAATCGATCCACATACCTTTGCATCTTCTGCATGTGGTTCGTGACAGAATCCCCGTCCTTCATCATGGTTGTTATCATGGAGCAGATGATTTCATACTTCTCTTGTGGTGCACTTTGATGGTATCTTTCCATCAAATCTTGGTGCATTTCATAAGGGTAGAAATCCTCATAGGACTTTTGGAGTTCCGCTGTCATCGTGGCCATCATGATGCATGCTACTTTCGTAGCATCCTGTAACAGCCCGGAATTTCAGGTATTGTTTTAAAACTATTCTTGGGGCATTTTAGGAGGGGACTCGGCGAGTTGGTGCCTGACTCGCCGAGTAGGACCACAGACTTGGTCGCAGATTCGCGACTGGACTCGACGAGTCCATTAGGGACTCGGCGAGTCGACGCTGTTCAGCAGAAACCCTAGCCGTTTGGTTTTGGATCGTTTATAACGCCTCTTAGGCCGTCATTGTTCGTTTTTGCTTACTGAGAAGAACCCTAGAACGATTGTGTGCATCTGGAACAAAGATTGAAGACCATTGTTGGGTTTGGAAGAGTTGTGTGCAAAGAAGAGGAAGGTTTAGCTAAAGGAATAGCAAGAGAATCACGTTCTGAGGATTGGGGACACAGAAAGTGCATCAATCAGGTAATATCTCGGATTTCGTTCTTCTGTGATTGATGTATATATGAAGTTAGGGTTTATAGAACCCATTTGATGATTAGAGGGATTATTATGTTGTTACCCAGGTGTTTATACCCCAGTAATAGGATGTTTAGAGGTCCAGATAGTCCCATGAGTGTGTATTTCGGGACCATACGTGTTTCAGGAAGCAGTGATCGACTGCATGGCATGGACTCGCCGAGTCGGATGAGCAGACTCGGCGAGTAGCTTGAAGATTCACTGGGACTCGCCGAGTTGTTCTTCAGACTCGGCGAGTGGAGTCGGGGTGGCCCCGCGATTCTTCCACGAGGACCTCGTCGAGTCAAGAGGGATACTCGACGAGTAGAAGGGCAACAACAGGGAAATTCGAGGAGGACGTCTAGACTCGCCGAGTCGCCTTTGCACTCGACGAGTCCGGTCAAGTTGACCGTTGACCAGAGTTGACCTGCATGTAAATTCTTAGGGTCAGTTGTCTTGAATGATAAGAGTATTAATAAGGGTATATGGTATTATAGGGAGTCTGCAGATCGGCGGATCGAGTGCGAGTAGTTTCAAGAGTTGATAGCTTACATTACCACAAGGTGAGTCTTCTCACTATACTGTACCCGGAAGGGTTTGACTGTGTGACCGGAAGGTCGGATATGTTATGTGTTATATATATGCTATAATTGAAAGGAATAGTTGCTATGCATGCTATGTATGTTTCTATGGGCCGGAAGGCAATGTATTATGTGACAGGAAGGTCAGGTATGATATATGATATATGTGATATATGTGTTAGAGTAAATGTATTATGTGTTATATATGTTTATGGGCCGGAAGGAAATCATGTTATGGGCCGGAAGGCAATTATCTTATGGGCCGGAAGGCAATTATCTTATGGGTCGGAAGGCGATTATCATATGGGCCGGAAGGCATTGTACTGTGGACCGGAAGGTCCGGGCCTGGAAAGGCGTATATGTGTAAGTGGTATACTGGGGAACTTACTAAGCATTTATGCTTACAAGTTGTTATGTATGTGTTTCAGGTACTAGCGAGGATCGTGGGAAGGCGCCGACATGATGCATACACACTGCTGCTATTTGAGATCTTGGGGATTTTACATATGTATTTGTTTGAAACATGAAATAAATTTTATTGGTTGAATGAACTCACTTTATTTAAAAATGAAAAATTTATTTGAAAATTTGCGTTGTTACACATCCCTTTCATGTGCCTGAAAGTCAGCGATCTCCTGAGGATTTGCAGTGGTCTCATCAATCTCCTTAAGCTCCTTGTCAAGGATATATTCTTTGTCCTCGTAGCGGGTAATCATCCTGATGTTTCTGATCCACTCATTGTAGTTGGATCCATCAAAGGTGACTTTCCTACACAAGTTCATAAGGGTAAATGAGCCATTAGGATTAGAGCCAGAAGCAGCATTGTTTGAAGACATCTGGACAAGATTAGTTTAGATATTAAGAGAGTCCTTAATAAAAAACCCAAATGTAATATTAAGGCTAGGATCCAATCACAATATATTATAACGTAGAAGAGGTATGCCGTAATCCAAGCTATAACATATTTGAAAGGTAGGCGAATGACGATTCACCAATTTCCACCACGAAAACCGAAATATTACATATTAGGTTTTGATTGGTTCTTAGAAATTCCTAGATTCTTTGAGATTCAATGAACTTTTCAAAGGCATGTTTCAATCTCGAGTGTGCCCTCCAAGTTTTGTGACTGGGATACCAAGGATCACAAAACGAGGTGTGAAGTAACCATGCAAATCACTTGGTACCCTTAAAGTTTATCACTCGATCGATGTGCCGGTAAACCACACATGCTTCACCGATACTATAATAAACCTTAAGTCACCCTTTACCTACCTTGTTAAGTCCAAGTTAGTGTGCCGGTTAACCACACATGCTTCACCAACGACTTAAACAAAGTGTAAAGTGTAATTTCATGGATTAGCACCTTATTCACATTTTCCTAAAGTAACTAAGATTGGGAATTTAATAAAACATTTAGTTACTTTATAATATTCATTATACTTTTAATGAGAATTTATAAGTTATTGTCTTACCCGTTCGGCTAACGACCCTCCACCAGTCAAGCGAGCGGTGGGTGAGAGTGGACACCCATTAAGTTGCCATTTTATAGGCAACAACCTTATAGACCGACTTCGTGAATGAGGCGTACTAGCGGTAAGACGACTTTGTTCTTATACATATATATATATATATATATATATATATATATATATATATATATATATATATATATATATATATATATATATATATATATATATATATATATAATTATTAAATTATAATAATATAAGTATAAGGGTTGAATTTTAACTTTTAAAATTCTAAGGGTTGGAACTGAAGTTTTAATAAGACTTTACTTTTTCCAAAACTTGAGGGCAAGTTTTGTAACTTTCAAAACCTTTCATTTCTTGTAACTTATGAGTTTAATAGAGTAATAAAAAATGAAGACTCTTCATTTTTCTAACTCTTGTGTTCTTGTAATGGTTTTAATTCAAGTGTGACTCTTGGTTTTCCATAACTTGAGGACAAGTTATGGACTCCATTAAAATACATTATGATCAAGAATTAATCTACCATATAGGTTACAAATAATTCTTATGATCATCTAAACATCATAAGAACAAGAACATGAATATGAACAATTTTATAAATCAAAATTACACTTAAAACTTTGTAATTTTGATAACTAGTTGTTGTAAATGAATTAGAAAAGACATTACACCATCTAAAACAAGTTTTCAAGTACCAAAACAGTTTAGGGTAATGTTTCTAATCCATTTCCAGCAATTAAAGTCGAAAATCTGCACTCTGTCGACCCTACTCGCCGAGTGCATTAACCTACTCGACGAGTAGGTTGAAGATACAAGTGAACTCGACGAGTCCCCCCATGGACTCGACGAGTCCAGCAGTCAGACAGCAAGTTTTTCGACTTTCTTCAACTTTTTAGCACAAATAACAAACAAACAAGCCTAGGCTCTGATACCACTTATGGGTTTTGAGCATTCTAATACTTCCTAAGTGTACATGCAACCCTAATAACCTTGGATCTATGTTTGTCTAATTATCATGCAAAGTTGAATTCCAAGGTTATATTCCTATCTATCATACATGTCCATCATCGGGTACCATACATCGTAGCAGATTGAGGAGTGATGTTATGGTTCGAATACCATGCATCATAGCGGATTGAGAAGTGACGTCGTGGGCTGAGTACCATGGGTCGTAGCAAATGATGCTCGTGGTTCTCCGGTTATCCGGTCATGATTGAATGACCTCTATTGCCGTTTCAAGAAATGCATCAAATATGCCTGATGAAGACGATGAAGATGATATTTTTAGAAAGAATTTATAAGAAGTAGAAGATGATTTTGACGTGTTAAATGAAATGAGTTGTACATTGTATTTATAGGAATTAAAACAAAATAAACCAAAAAGAGCGGTTGCCCCATTGGTCCAATGCACTTGGTCAAACTCAATACATTTCCACCAAATTACCGAACCGAGCTCGGCATGCCAAGGTGTCGACCTGGATTGGTGTTCATTGATGTCATCGAGCCTCAAACAGACGTTCACACACACAGGGGTTGTGAGCGTATTTGGGATCTGAGTAATTTGTAATATTAAATTAAGTTCTTTCACACAAAGGGGTTGTGAGCGTATTGTCGAGTGTACTCGTACTCTTTTTATTATGGGAACTACACTTTTGGGATATGACTAATTTGTGATATATTAAATAAAGTTCTTTGACACATTTTATTACACACATAAAATATACACTTTGGTCAACAACAAGATTTGAACTCACAGGTCACAATCTATGTATGACGCATCTTTCATCAACCACACACACCGCTACACTATATTTGGACTTTCCAAAAAGATAAATATATACATTATATTATTCACTAATCCTGTTGGTATATACTATTATGTATGGCATGCGGAATGGCTGAAATCCTAATATAATAAGCAGTTTATTTTTGAATCACGTCAACACACAACTACCACACTTGACTTTTGACTTTCATTTGAGTACTTGTAAGTCAAAGCTACCAACGCATTACAATTTACAACCAAGCGAAAAGGACAGAACAATATAAACATATCAAGAAAGTAAAAACAATTGGTAGTAATTCTTTACTATGCAGTGATGACACCGTTTTCTTTTACATCAGTATGTTTATCAGTCTTCTTTCCTTCTTCATCACCTAGCTTTGCATCACTCTCTTGTACCTTCTCACCATTTTCTTCAATCTTCTTAGCTGCTTCTTCCTCGGCTTTGATCCTGGCATCCTCCACAGCTTTCAGCCTTGCTTCTTCTTTTGCATTCTCCAGAGATTGGATCAACTTGTTCAAACAACTCTCAGCATTCTCTTCAAAGGACTTTGGCATCAAATTCTCCGCAACATCAGCTGGAGTCATCTTGGTCTCCTCCAAGAGTCGACTGATGATTGAAAACAAGTCGTGTGATTCAAGATCCAAATAGTTCTTTGCAAGCACCTTGAATGTTTCGAAACAACAATAGGAAAGCTCGATATGCTTATCCATCCTCCCTCTCCTAATCAGAGCAGGGTCGAGCTTTTCAACAAAGTTTGTTGTGAACACGATCAGTCTCTCACTCCCACAAGCCGACCATAGCCCATCAATGAAGTTCAAAAGCCCAGATAAAGTCACTTCACTTCCCTTATTCTTCTTACCCTTTTCCTCCTCGGCCTTCTTAACTGGATCCTTCTCCTCCTCTTTACTCTCTTCTTTTTTCTCCTTTCGCTGACCAGTTAAATCAAGTGAACAGTCGATATCTTCAATCACAATTATAGACTTACTTGATGTGTCAATGAGTAGCTTCCTCAAGTCCGTGTTATCCTTCACGGATGTTAGTTCAAGATCATAAATGTCGTATTCCAGAAGGTTAGCCATGGCAGCAATCATGCTAGACTTTCCCGTTCCTGGGGGACCATAAAGAAGATATCCTCGTTTCCATGACTTGCCCACCTTCTTGTAGTAGTCTTTCGACTTGCTGAACATCATAAGATCATCTAAAATCTCTTTCTTCTTTTTCGGGTCCATTGCAAGAGTGTCGAATGTGGAAGGGTGCTCGAATATGATATGGCTCCACATAGTCCTCCTGTAACCCGACCAGTTCTCACTCTTGTTGTTAGTATACAGCTTTCGTTGCCTTGTTTTCACTGCAATAGCCTTTCCTTCATCGAGTACATGTTGCAAGTAAACTTTAGTGATGATATCTCGGTGTTCTCTTTTACATGTGAGCCTATAATACCGCTTCTCCTCCTCACCTCGATAGGAAAAGAGAGCCTGCTGTTTTGGGATGCTTTTACTCGACGTCCACCAGATCTTGATGCCTCTGAACTCGTCTGTGACCTCTTCGTAGTCGTCCATACTCAGGACGACGGATTCACAGTCTTTGACCACGTTTGCTTTGAGCCTTTTGGCTCTGTTGGAGGAGTTGGTGCTCAGATAACGTTCAATGGAAACAAAGGCTTTACTTCGCTCGAACCAGCTGTCTGGTTGGTATTCATGAAAAGTGATTTCGACATAAGGGTACACATAGCTAACTACTTTGTTAACATATTTCCTGACATCTCTTTGGAATTCATCAGGAAACAGTTGCCGGAATATTGCCCAAACGAACATTACGGCAGCCATTAAAGACCCTACCTGAGTCATATCCCCCATCATCTCTGGCTTCCTTGCTGAAAGCCTCACAGATCACTCAAATCTGTTGGTAAAATAGTGATGAGATGAGGAGGGTGTATACTGCATAGATCACATAATTAGTTTATATACAGAGTCTAGCGGCAAAGACTAATGTAATAAGTCTTTCTTTTTTGTAATCTTGTGAAGTTTTATTGAACGGGGTGTCGTGTAGAAGCCATTCTTTACTTATAAAATGCCGAAAGGGTAGCCGACCTTGTGCGTAGCTACGGAACGGCATGAAAAGGTAGCTAAGCATGAAGCTTCCCAAGAATTGACTAATGAAGAATGACATCACGGTAATTGCATCATTCATTTTCTTGTTTCACAAGGTAATAACATCGATCAGTGGTTGTTGACTCTCCTTCACTAGAAATAAATAAAAGGATAATAAATAAAAGCATAGAAAAATGACCCAACGAAATTTTCAAACCGTTCAAAAAAACCTTAATTATGTTTTGTTGGTTTAAAAAAACTCAACAAATTTAACATTTTGTCTAAAAAACTCAACTAAGTTATACTTTTCTGAAAGTCAAATAAAAGAAACAGATAACATGGCTTATTACCGTATCGGAAAAATGACTTGTTAGACCAACAAAGTTTCCAAAATGTTTAAAAAACTCAAATCATGTTTTGACTGTCCAAAAAAAACTCAACGAATTTAAACAAAACAAAATTGAGATTTTTTGAACGGTTTGAAACTTTGTTGGAATTTTTAAACAAAATGTTAAGTTCGCTGAATTTTTTTGAACAGACAAAATATGATTAGGGTTTTTTGAATGGTTTGAAAACTTCGTTTGGTTTTTAAGTCATTTCCCAAATTATATATAAAGAGGTTTATGCTCATGTCCCATAAAAAATGTTATCCCTATACATTTAGATGTTGTTTATATACCAATGTAAGACCTCTCTCATAAAAGTACTAAATATCTATAAAACAAAAATTGCTTGTCTTTTAAACTTAAAAGATTTTTCAATACTTTCATGAATTTATTATAAAGAGTTAATAAATTTAGATCAAATTTAATGTATTATTATATAAAAAATGAAAATAAAATGGTACAAATTAAAAGAAGATATATATATATATATATATATATATATATATATATATATATATATATATATATATATATATATATATATATATATATATATATATATATATATATATATATATATGATGAAAACCAGTAAGTTTTGGTTGCAAAGTTAATCATAAATATTATAATTTGGGATTATAAAGTTTAACCCATAAAATGAATGGAAATACATATGGATTTTAAAATTAAAATTTTCAAACTATTCATTTATTTTTATTCAGAAAACCAAACTTATATAATATACCGACATGGGTGATTTATAATCCATTTTAATCATTTTATAAGTAATTTATAATGAAATTTATAAAAATCAAATACAAATATTCGATCGTTTTAGAAACAAATATGAACCTTTTGTTTCCATACATTTTATTCAAAACGGAATGGATTCATGATATATAAAATAAATAAACAAAGTAACAAAAAAAGATTAAATTGGGGGAGTAAAGATTCTGTGCGTTGAATATAAATTTTTTTTTTTTTTTTTTTTTGAAACATTATTATTTTTTAAAATTGTTTATCATAGAACAAATTAAAATAATCTAATTAAATTTAATTTTAAAAAAAATATATTTAGTTGTTTAATTTAGTTGTTTAAGAGAGAATATATCTAAAGCAGTGACGGACGCAGAACGTTTTAGTAAGGGTGACACTAAAAAAAATTTCCGAAAAAATCTAAATTAGAAGTGGCACTCGTATTTTAAGCCGATGCACCTAATAGAAAAAACATAATTTTTTTTTACACTATGTGCCGGAATCAGAGCAGTGGCCTGGGACACCCCGAGCACCACTAAGGTCTGCCACTGATCTAAAAATGTTAGAAAACTCTAGTCCATATCTACACTAAGAAAAAAACATGCATACATTTTTAGATCTGCTTTCTTTTAAAAACAAACAGTCCATGAAGGTAATATTTATACGTGGTCTGGACGACGTAAACAAAAGAAGCAAAAGACTTGTACACAAAAAATAAACATGACATTACAGGTCGTTTGATAGTTGCTAATCGGGTTAGAGTTGAATGAGTATGAAGATGACTGAGTTAGAAGTTCTGATTCAGTTAAATTCTGATTGCAACTTGCTGTTTAATTTTGCATCTGACTGATTGTACAAAATAACTATATTACCCTCAAACAACATTTTTTTAAAAAAAAGTTCCACTATAATTTACCATTTAATTTGTAACCTTATATTTTTGTATAAAAAAAATTCAACCTGATTATACACATTACCACATCATATATCAAATAACATATTCAACATTTTAAGATAATATTCAAGCAATAATACAATTGCTTTGTTGCATAGTATTTTTTATCTGCTACTTCTTAGGTAGAATACAAACCAAACACATTGTTAGGTAGAATACAAACCAAAGACAGAAACAAAAATTAATTCACACCAATAAACAAAAATTACATGTACTGTTTTATTTATTTATTTATTTTTAAATTCCATGTTTGCCCTCTGTATCATTGAATCCAAAATGCTCCACTTAACTGTAGTGTAGTGTGCTTTAGATCTTATATCCACTGTCTTATAGGAAAGATCTTTTGAATGGCTCATAGTGTGAATGGCTCATAGTGTGCTTCTAATTCATCCTTGCCAGCAATCAATCATGGCATATTACCATAGGAAACTAATGCAAATTTTCAAATATAAACATTGTCCATCCTCCCTTTAATGCAAGAGGGCTCCACCAACAAACATGTTTGTGATTATATGTGTAATAAATATAAATCAATTCACCCAAATTAATTAAAATTTAGCAATGTATCCATAATTTAACCTATTTATCAAATCATTTATAATTTAACCATTTATCAAGACATCTATAACTCAAACCATTTAACAGGAACAAAAAAATCACAGCAACAAAAAAAAAAAAAAAACGTAACAACAAAAGGAGAGTATAGCAACAACAAAAAAAATGTTCAAAGCACATCAAGGGGGGTTGCCGGTGTAACAACAAACCTCAGCAAATCGAAAATCTCAGGTTGGATTGGAAAACACGGGAACAAAAGGCTCTAAAATACGCACCAAGTCGGAGGAAGAAGACGGAATCGCAGGTGGTCTTCGGTAGCAGCGGAGCAGCTGGAGGGAAGGAAATCGGAGTGAAGGAAGTCGGCAGTAGCGATGTTGCTGTGCTACTGAGTTTTTTTTTTTTTTTTTTTTTTTTTTTTTTTTCTTTAGGGTCACCACGCACGAGGGCAAAGAGGGTATACAAGTATTACTTTTGAGTCAACCATATTTTTTAAGCGGACCAAGTAAGTAGATGGATCAGTTATTGCTGACCGAGTCTGTCACTTTTAGGTTTTATCAAACGGGTTCATCTGGACCGAATCAGCCAAAATGGGTGACTGGACCTAGTCAGCTCACTATCAAACAGATCCTTAGTCTTGTTGTATGGTTTTGTTATTGAACCTGTTTATCTGTTAAAAATACTATTATATATGATTATTTATTGTACACAACATTAAACATATTTAGTCAAAAATCACTATTCTTTTTAATTATTCTTTTCTTTAAATTTCTTTATACAAATTTAATATCAAATCTTAATCCTATATAATATAAATATGTATTATTATGCACTAATAAGCAAAGCCAGCACAAACTTATTTTGGGTTTAGAGTGTAAAAATATAAAAATGCTTCTGAAGACACACACAAAATCATTAGTAATATATACAAATAAAGTAACATTTGTATAATGGTTGTGTCGTGTGCATTCTCTCCGGTTGGTTAGTAGTTTGAATCCAAAAACACAATTTTCTTTGTTATTCTAAAAAAATTAGTATCAAAATCAATTTTGTCCAATATATGTTTATCCATAAATAAAGTAGTTAAATTGATGAGCTTAAGTAATTTTATAACAACTTTGTATTTGAAAACTTCTCTATACATATACTACAATGCCAAGAATAGTTAATAAGATTTTATATGCAATGAAATTGTAACGATTAAGACTTAGGAATTCAGACGACATAGTCGACGCATCCATTCTATTTTTGCTTGATTGCTTCATAGGCCATTACTTTACAATCTGTTAACACGATTTCCTTCATTTTGGTTGTACATACTCACCTTCTTTGTGAACAACAATAACTATATGTATGCTATTGCATCTTTCTGAAATTTTTGTCTTTGAATTTGACACATTCTCATGTCTTTAATTTATCTTTAAAAAAAAAAAACAAACTAGTCATTATATATTAATAGTACATAGTCTATAAAAATTTTAAACCCCTTGGAATGATAGGCATTGGGTGGTCTCCCCTATCATGCTAATGAGTTATGCAATCAATAATATGAATCAATACATGATTGATAGTATGAACACTACATGTAAATAGTTTTGTTTTACTCAATATTGATCAAGAAAGGAGTTTAGAGTACAAGCAATATAAACGAGAGTGAAAAGTGTTTGTGTGTGAGAGTGCCTTAATGAACATCTCACCTACAACACTATTTATAGGCAATATTAGGGATGTCAACGGGGGCAAACGGGACGGGGATTGCATCCCCCGTCCCCGCCCCCAAAAAATTTCCATTCCCCCATCCCCGCCCCGCCCCGAAAACTCCATCGTTTCCACCCCCGCCCCCGCCCCCGAATTCATCTTCTGCTCCCCGCCCCCGCCCCCATTCACCCGCCCCCGATTGATTTTGGGCTACCTTATTTGGTCTAAAAGAAGTTTTTGTTTGGGCTAAAAGAAACTATTTTTTGGGTAACAACTAGATATTTATAACATAATTTAACATGTTACAAACAAGTTAAAAACATGTTTTTATTGAATTTTTTTTTGTAAAAATCATTTTATTATTTATTATATTTATATAATTAATATATGTCAATTTATATAATTTATTAACGGGGCCCCCA